GCAGCGCCACTGAGCTAAATCCCCGGCCCCCATCAAAAACTATTTTTAAAAAGTAAAATCAACCTGTGGAAAACTTTTCAGAAGGTTAAGTTATTAATTCTATGGAAAAGGAGGTTATTAATCCTGCAGGAAAGGTTAAGACTTTGAAGAGTCAACGATAGATTTCCGTGTGATTGTTTCCCAAAGTCTACTGATCACGAAGTTTCCAGGCCCCTCCAATCTTTCCTTCTAAATAGCCCTTTACTCTGCTCCTCTCCCATTCCGGGGTCGTTCTGGATTTATCACGTTGTCTGAGACTGGTACTGAGGTTCCTGCGTACGTCCCGCAGCGCCCGGACCACGTGTGCGCCCCACCCCGGGCCTACCCACACGCCAGCCGAGGACCGCGAGGCCCGCACGGGTCCGCGCCGAACCGCCAGGTCCTGACTGGAGGACCGAAGTCAGCGGGGCGCGAGAGTCCGTGCGGGCTTGACGCGCGACTCACCCTCTGCTGTCGCCATGATCCTGAGCGGGCTGGAGGGCGTAACTACACTGAAAAGAGGGGCAGAACCCTGGAAAATAGCGGGTAGCGAGGTTCGCGGGGCGGGGCAGGCGCAGACACGCCCCTCACGTACACTAGCAGGTTGCACGTAGAGCACTGTGAAGGCGCCAGGCCAAACTCCAGGATCACTGTGGACCAAAGAAGTGGAGCCCCACTCCGGGAGGGAGAGGTTCCCTTAAGGCTTCCCGCCGCGCAGGCGCAGCGACGCGACCCCGCCCCCGCACCGTCCGAGCGGGCTCCGTACCAGGAAAGGCAAAATGTGGCGCGCACTGGCGGCCCCACCCCACCCTGCAGCGCTTGCGGCCCAGGCCCCTTTTTTCAGTCTAGAGCGGCTGGAGAGGTTGGAGCGTACCAAGTCCGGACGGCCGGGGGAAAAGCAGAACAGGAGGGGCGTGTAAAATTTACACCTTCTGAGAGAAATGACGTTACTTTCATCGCCCCAGTCTTGGATGTTGCAAAATAACGGAGATTTCCACGTGCAGAAAAATAAGCCTTCCGGATGTCGGGGGGAGGGGAGATAGCTCCACCCCATGAAATACATGACTCCTCCCCTCTTCCTCCGCTCTCCCTGTTTGGTGGGCCCCGGGAGGCGGGGCGGGGCGAGCAGGCCACGCCCACTCGGGGGTCAGCAGGCGCCGCCGCAGTAGCTGGTGTCGAACTGCGGGGAAGGAAGAGGCTGCTACGAGCGTAGGGACCGAGCTGGCAGCTGGTTGGATCTTGGACTTCGGCCGCGGCGGGAGGTCCCTCCACGTGCCTTCCGCGGCGACATGGAGCTGGAGGAGTCGGGCTTTAGAGAGGCATGCGGCGTGTTCGGGTGCATCGCTTCTGGAGAGTGGCCCACGCAGCTAGATGTGCCGTATGTGATCAATCTAGGACTCGTGGGGCTGCAGCACCGGTGAGCAACAGGGTGAGGGCTAGAAGTAGGGGTGCGGGGCAAGCACCTCTACATTTCCGCCAGTCGCCTCCCCCCTGCAGTGTTGGGAGTCTCATGAGCTCCCGGGGACCTGGAGGAGGGAGGTCTCTCACCCGGACCGGTACCTGCCCTGGGCATGGGACAGGTTGAGGGGGGTGGGGAGACCTTGCCCCTGGTCGCCCAAGGTCCGGGTCCCGGATGCCTTTTATGGGCCCCACCCACTTCTAACCCCCCTGAGAGTCTGTGCACCTCTCGTGAGTCTGGCCAGTTAGTTGGGCTCCAGTTTGCTTGGACTAGCCAGGTCGTGGAGGAGCGGAGTCTAATCTCCTGAGCCTTGTGCATTTCTGGTGATAGGTTTGTGAAGGGGTGGTGGCTGGTCCCAGCCCTGCTACACCTTGAGGTTCTCGCGCGGAGTCTCCGTCCAGCACGAGCTTTTGTTTGCAGAGCAGAGCTGTTGAGCAGATGGTGACTTCGAAAGTAGTTATAGCTATGCAAACTTGAGGATCCTAGAGTTAAGACCCTGGAAAGCAGGATTAATTGATGTTCAAAAGGAACTACCATAGATCTCATATAAATTAACGCAAAATAGGCCAATCTCAGGGACTAGATTGATAGTTAAACATTTTAAATGAGTGAAACCTTTGGTAGTAAGATGCCAAAACTTAACTCCCTTCTTTAAAAGGGAATACGGTGTGCATATGAAGGCACACACTGATTTGGAAAAATTGGAGATCAAAAATAAAAACAAAAAGGGCCTGGGGATTTAGCTCAGTGGTTCCAGTGCCTGCCTTGCAAGCGCAAGGTCCTGAGTTCAGTCCCTGGTACCAAAAAAAAAAGCATCCTTGCTTCCATGATCTACTTCTTACTACTTGATCTAACTGGAAGTTGATGTAAATTACTCGGTTCGTGTATGAAGCACAAACCTAGGTTTGGCATTACTGAAGTATTGCAAAGTTTCAATAGGCAATACAGTAGCAAGAACTTCTAGAACAATTAAAGAACTGGCCGGTAACACAGCAGTATGAGTGCAACTTGTATAAATGTATTCCAGCTGATGAGCTTTCCCTCACCAAAGTGATTTTTTTTTTTCTTTCAGAATCTCACATACTTCAGTTTGAGTTTAAAGTAACTCAGAATCTGGAATGAATCAACAAAACTTTTCTTTTTTGAGACAGGGTCTCACTGTGTAGTTCAGGCTGGCCTCAAATTCAAAGTGATCTCCTGCCTCAGCCTCCCAAGTGCTGGTATTACAAGTGTGTGCCACCAAACCCAGCCAAGAATTATTTTAAACTCGAATAATATTGGATAATTGTGTGTTGACTGTGATAGATTACTCATTTCAAAAATTATTGAGAGATTATATAATCTAAGGAGAAGTTAAAATCTGATTAGGTCATTTATCTGAGCAATATAGTGTAGATCAGTGATGGCGAACCTTTTAGAGCTTTTAATGATGACAGCTCGCAGCCCACATGTCCGTAGGTTCACCACCACTGGTTTAGATCATTCTTAAGTTAATTTTTAATATTCTTTTAGTGGAGTAGGGATCTAGGGATCTTCAGAGTTACCTAGCAGGAAATAGGTGAACTTAATTTTTCCCTTAACTATTTACATTTTAGTAAAAATTACTTAGTTCTTTTCATCCTCATTTCTCTTCCCCTTTAAACATATGTCTGAAGAAAAGGGGGCTTATTTATTACTTAGATGTTGCCATATAATTGGAATTCTAAAACTTATTTTAGGGAAACACTTGGTATACTTGGCTCTAGTGTTTCTGTTTTTAGGTTGAATACAACTTGATTCCTAGTTACAGGTACCTGCTTTCTACAATTGGATTTCTGCAAAAGGATTATGAGGTTAGATAATGAAAGATGATGTAATAAAGTTAGGATTATATAATAGTAAAGCAGTATTGAGTATAGGATTATGTGATAGTAAAGCAAGATTTTATGAAGCAAATGCCTTGGAAAGTGATAAAAGATTTTCCTAGTGTAGGTGTGGCATCATTAAGGCAAGATGGGGGCTGGTTCTTGCTCCTGTTCCTACCAATTCAAAATTTTATATGAACAAAAGGTCTTTGCCCTTTGGGAGAACTAATTTGAATTTGAAAATCAGTGAAACTCCTGTACGTCTAGAAGATATAATCATTGCTCTAAAACTAGAGGTAAGGGTCAGAACAAGATTCAGAAGTAATGGAAGGGGGCGGGGGGTGAGTATTGGAGATTGAACCAGGGCTTCCCCTGCTAAGCACACATTCCACTCCTGAATGCACCCCAACCCCAAGAACTGATGTACCATGTTTATGTGGTGTTGAATGAAGGAATGTTAAAACCAGAGTCTTGGATGGGTTGTCGTAGTTTAAGCTGCGTTGGAATTAATTGTATCCCCTGTAACCTGGTACAGACCTGGTCTGTTGCAGAAGGCTCCAATTGTACCTTCCTATTCCCATTCACTAAATGGTTTGTATTAAAATAACAGCAAAAAGTTTAATTTTTTCCTCCATTGTTGAAGGAATTTATCTTACACATTTTATTAACACACAGAATTTTTCAGACAATGAGACTTCTGTTATTTTTGCATTCTTTATTTTGGTCTAGGCATGGTCTGATCTGAACAGTTTAGTCTAAGAAATAAGCCTCAGAAACCTGAAAGTTACAGTATTTGTCTTTTACATGGTGATCAGTTACTATGTAGTCAGGTACTGGATATTGAATCCAGATGAGTTCATCCACAATTACTTCTTTTTAATAATTGTTCTAGCTATTTGCAGCTTTATTCCCTAGCTGTTCTTTCCACCAAAGGGGATTTTTAGTTGTCCCCTTCGCTGTAAGTTGTCTGTGATAGTGTACAGATGTGTTCCTACCAGATTGATGTAATCAACAATTGCTTTTTTGGTCCTGAAAATATCAGTTTAGTAGTTTGCGAATCAGACACTCCCTTGTAAATCAGACAGTTTCATATTTAAACCAGAGTTGTATTTTATGGAGAATAGAATGGTCTACACATACAGTATTTGAAAATTCCGTAAAAAGACTTAAAGAAATTCATAGACTTTTCCCATGAGTCAGTTGGTTAGCCCCTGCTTTGATACCATGGTTTGGATGTGCTTTATCTGTTGGATGTGTCTTATCTGTGGCATTATTGGGTGGTGGAGTGAGGTGGGGCCTAGATGAAGGCAGTTAGGTCAGGGGGGATGCTGGGGTTTCCCAGTTATGGACTTTCAGCCTCCTGGACTGTGAGCTAAATAAACTTTTCTTTATAAAGTACTTCACCTCAGATATTTTGTTACAGCAACATGGAACAGACTGTTAACTTCAAACTTGGTTAGTTTGAGATGAGCATGCCCTTCCTTCAGTGACTTGCCTCTTCCTTAGGTTAAGAATTAAATTTAACAACCAATGAACATTTTCATACCACTTTAAAAAATTTAATGAAATTTACCTGATGAAGTTGAGTGTCCTGTCCAAAGAAACATTCACTAGAATCTTTTGGTTCTGTTATGCTTTGAGGAGACTGCTTTGTAACAATCTCAGGAACAGCTTTCTTAAGAGACACAGATGCTGGTTCTGCAGAGTATATAATATTATCAGTAGGAAGGCACTCAGGAGAAAGAAATGCTCTCAAAGCTCTGTGGAATTAGTTCCCAGTTATCTTCATTTAGTGTTTTGGAGAACACAGGAGGTTGTAGAAAACTATGCTAGATTAAAGCCGGAGATAACTTTATTTTGACTTTTATCTTTTAGTGAAACTGATCAAATATGTTAACATTCCTATAGGGTTTTACCTGTACACTCATGTAGTTTGTCTCCTATATCCAAATCAAGTGATTTTTGATTTGATCAAGTGACTTACTTTAAAACTGTCCAAGCTGACTTATTTTAAAACTGTCTTGGGCTGGGGATTTAGCTCAGTGGTTTCACTGCCTGCTGTGCAAGTGCAAGGACTCGAGTTCGATCCCCGGTACCAAAAAAAAAAACCAAAACTGTCTTAGCCAGGGGTGGTAGCATATTCCTATAATCTCAGCACTCTGGAGGCTGAGGCTGGAAGATCACCAGTTAAATTCAGGGCCAGCCTGAGCTACATAGTGAGTCCAAGGCCAGACTGAACTGCATAGAAGGACCCTGTCTCCAAAAGCAAAGCAAAAACCTGTCTTTGCTAATTATAGATAGAACTGGTTATGGTAGGGACTAAGTGCGCGTATGTTAGTATGTAAAGAGTACACTCTAAAATAATAAAAAGTATAGTAAATACATAAACCAGCAGCATAACTGTTTAGTCACTATTCAGTATTGCATACTGTACATAATTATGGATACAATACTCTCATAGAAGTGGCAGTAAAGATTTATTTACACCAGTGTCACTACGAACCTGTGAGTAATGCTTTGCTCTGTGACAACATGATGACTACAGTGTCACCAGGTAATAGTTTTTCATTCTGTTATGATCTTATGGGACAGTGTGGTATATGTCATGTGTCATTGGCAAAAATGTCCTTATGCACCACCTGACTATACTCAAAATCTATTTGCTGTGCTCCTGTGTACGTATGAGGCAGTGCAGTGGACACTGGGAGCTGTGTATGTATTACACAGGGCAGATAGGATTCCTGCCTGCACCTCTAGAACGCAGTGTGGCCCATTGGCTCAAGAGCACAGTCTTCTCTGAGCCTCAGTTTCCTCATCTGTAAATAAGGTATGAATGATGATCCCTACATCACAGGATTGTAGTCAGAACTAAATTTATTAATACATGTGCTTAGAACAGTACCTGGATATACCCATGTCCTATGACTTTGCCTCCCACTCCTTGGCCTGTTCTCAACAGATTTCTGTTGCATGTGCGTTGGGAGACACAATTATTCCTAATACTTCCAGTCTGGAAACAACTAGAATGTCCCAACAGTGGGCTAGATAAAAATAAATAAGTGGTAGATGGTAGGATATGTATTCTCACATTGGAATTTTCTACAGTAATAAAAA